GGGGAATGGACATACCCCCGCCCCGACTTAAACGGGGACGGGGCGAGGACGGGGCGGGGATCCCATTGTTCAGGTAGCATTTCCCTTAAAAACACGTAACTCGATTTTTTATTATTATCAATGAAATAATCATTGATCTGACGTGATGTGATTTATAAATAATAAAAAACACGCCTATCTATTCACTCATCATTCTCATTCTCATTAAATGCCATTTGTTATCTTTTGAATTTTAGGGTCCATTTGATTGACAAAAGTGAAAAACTTTCAAATTTCTTGTAAGTTGAAAAATAAAAATTCAGGTACCCAATAGAAATATATTTTCCATGGAATTGACAAAAAAACAAACTTAAAATGGTTGTACCTTTAAATTCAAACTCCATTTTCACTTTCGTATCAAACAGTTAAAGTAGAAATTGAATTTCTCGAGTATAACATTTTCTATTAAAATTTAAACCAATCAAACGGACCTTTAGTGTAGCCACATAATCATCTTACCATCCTATTTTTAGTGTGTCAAAATTTTCATCGAGATATTCAATCATGCAACAATTGTTTTTATGACAACTCATGACAAGCTTTTAATAATAATAATTGTGACAACAAGTCAAAAGTTTATGTATCACGTTTTCATTTTATGAACATTTAACATAAGTTGGATCAGATCTTGCAGAATCTAAATCTATCTTCAACATGGTCCCCACATGAAAAAACAAAAATAAAGTTACTCACCCATCCGTATGCACATGGGCGGGTACCAAGAAAGGCGTAGAGTTATATTGTGCTTCTATGCGTTTTGAACAAATTTCAGAAAAATGCTGATCTTTATGATAATTATATATTCAAAAAATATCTCCCTTCTTTGGGATAATTTTACCCTTATATATGATTATATTTCCTTTCTTATTTTTTTTCTTCCTAATTTTAATTTCAAAAAATAAATTATTTTATTTTAAAAAGATTAATTTATTTTCCATATTTTGTATAAAACTATTTAATTTTAATAATAATTTTTTCTTTATTGATTTCTCATTTAATAGACAAAATAAAATTTATATAACATGTAAAAAAAAGGTG